TTAAAGAACTTAATGTTTGAGATATCATTTTTAGCAATCGGCATTATGAAATGTTAATTACAGTGAGTATAGTTTGGGCCTGATTTTTAACCAATATGGTTTAAAACATGGACCGAGTTGACAAATTTGAAGTATTGTTTTTAATTGAAATATGGCTTTTTATTATTATATTTAGATACTCTATTTCATCATATATTTATATGATAGAAAAGCAGGGAAAATTCTCGAAATACTAGTAAAAACATTCAAAAATTCTAAATTAGAATTGCTATATATTTTCTCTACGTCATCCTGAAATTTTATTGTCTTGTTTTGCCATTTTCAGACTTTAAATCTGACAATATTTTTCGCATTTGACAGTAATTATTCATCTTCATAAATAAAAACACAGTATTCATATTTTAAAATTCTCAAATATTTTTTACTCCTATTTGAAGTAAGAAAAAAATCCACTAATATTACTTCTGGAAAATGATGGACATAAATATGATATTATAACTTTTAGTGACTACAATGGTGTCCAAAGTTCCTATTTGAAGTAAGAAAAAAATCCACTAATATTACTTCTGGAAAATGATGGACATAAATATGATATTATAACTTTTAGTGACTACAATGGTGTCCAAAGTTACTATGATGTAGTAGTGACTATGATGTAAACTTTAAAAATAATTGTAGTCATTAAAAGTTACTCAGTCACATTTTTATTCATGACTTTTTATTAGCAATATCTTAGGAATAACCTATTAAAGCAATGAGCTGAGAGTATAAAATGGCTAAATTGCTACAAATTTTTTACTCCAATTTGTGTAAATTATGTTCTTTTACTATGTTTCATGCATGTATTATTTTTCGATCATCTCTGTTTTACTGCAACTAATCCATTATTGTCATTTTGTTGTCTAGTTAGGGAGTGTTTGCGATTGCTCCTGCTCTAAAAAAGTGATTTTGATAAAAGTGCTTCGTATTAAAAGTTGACAGTGTTTTAGATTAAAGTGGAAGAGTTAAAATTGGAGTGATTGATAAATGCCATTGCAGCTTACCATCTCTGCAACGACCCATCTTTACAAAAGGTTGAAAATTACAGAGCATAAATTCATCACAGCCCAAATTCAATTGAAAATTAAAGATTGAAAATTAGAGAGCAAAAGATTGAAAATAAGAGTCCAACAGAATCAATTGGTTTCTTTGTAAAAGGAACCTCACAGCCCCAAATTCATCGCCGTTGCCACCATTGAGACCACTGGTCGAGTTTCAACAGCTTTGTTTAAAATTAAAGGTTGAGAATTACAGAGCAATTGGTTCAGCAGACCCTTTTCTTGGCCCTTCTTTATTTAGTTCAGCAGGCCCACCTCTTGGTTGCTACCACCGGAGCTTTTCGCTGTCGCCGTGGGACGAACACTAATAATAGCAGTGTGTCCAACTCAGTCCAAGGATAAAAAGAAAAGATTAGAATATGACGAATAGTTGGTGCGAGATGAGAAACCAGTGATAGGAAGACTCTAGGGAATATACGAACACGACAGATAGAAGGGTACTTTGGATTTTTGATAAATATGTGTATCATTATTACTGTCCTCACAGTTGGAAGTATTTACAGAAAACCCTAGAAGCACTAAGAAGCACCCAATACCCAACTTCTACGGAGTAGCTTTTAATTTTAAAGCACTTTTTTTAATCAGAAGTTGGGATTACCAAACACATTTTCTACCTTTTTTTTTTATCTAAAAGCTTAGAAGCACTTAATTTAAGTAATAGCAAACTGTATTGAAATGAAATAGTTACTTGGTATTTCACGTTCTAAGATGAACCTAATAGCATGCACTAATGATAAAAATGCAGAGATATTAAAAAGATGAGAAAGAAAGCAAAACTAATGAAAGATGTAGAAAAGAGAAAGAGAAAATGTAGTAACAAGATTTTCTTTTCAAATACTTCCTCCGTCACTATATAATATGCATACTTTGACTGTCACACATCTTTACGAGGAATACTGTTTGACACTGTTTGGACACTGTTTTGCACTGTTTTGTTTGCCAAAAAAGGAAACGAGCCTCTTATATAGGGACAACCCAAAAAGGAAAGTGTATCTTTTATTTAGAGACATGAGGAGTATGAAAGTGCGACAAATAATATACTCATAAAAAATATGTGTCAAGTAATGTAGAATAGAGAGAACATCTTTTTCTCCAACTCTATTTTACGAGAATAATTTTCACAATTTGGATATTTAAATTAGTATTAGCAGATTTTTAAAGAAGTGAACTTGTTCATCAATGATGAAAATGAGAGGAAACACAACAATCACATAGTCTAAGGTCTAATGCTACATTGTGATAGACATAGAAGTCATAGTTTCCACTCCCCTCAGAACACCACACTTCGTTAATCCTCCAGTTATGTAAATTCGTCTAAAAATATTTCTGCAACCCATACCCAAACAATAATCTGGACCATATCGAGAATTAAAACAAAATTTCAATTAAAAGAAAGATAACACTCAACTTGACCATCTTCCAGAGAGGGAAGAACACAAGTTTTGATTTGACCAATCACCGAAAGAAGATTTTTTTTTCCTTGCTCCAACTCAGCGTGCTCCACCTTTCCAAACTAGGGACTCAGAAGATATCAAGGTGCTTCTCCTCTGATTCTTCACTTTCTAGAATCACCCCTCACTCATCAAAATTGACAGAAGTAACAAAAATTAGGTAGTCGCTCATACCCAGTTTACATTAATGGTTACTCCCTTATCACTTCAAAATCAGCTACCTCCCTTATCATACCTAGTTTACGTTAATGGCAACTCAAATGCATACATAAGATTGCCATGCCCCATCAAGTTTGCAATAATCAACGAGATTGAGGTTCCCAATAAAATTATCAACAACATTAGCAACTTTTCGTGTCATGAACTCAAGAATAAATTATGAACTTGCATCCAGAACTCATTATGTTTACACAATATAATCCAACACTATTTCTATAGGCTAAAGGGTCAAATAGGTACATGAACTAACTTAAAGTGTTCAATTAGTCCCTAATATAGAAGGTTCTGCCCGGCCGTCGCCAAATTGGGACGATTCCCGGTGGAATTTTTTGATGAAATTTTTTGAGCATCTTCTTCATTAAGTCTAGTTTACCCATACCAAATTTCAGCTATAAAATCAACCGGGAAGGCAGTCAAATGATTTTTTGAAGATAACTGCGCAGTTAAACAGCGCAGTACATTTCAGAAAATCATTTGATTACCTTCCAGATTAAGTTTTTAGCTGAAATTTGATATGGGTAAACTAGACTTAATGAAGAAGATGCTCAAAAAATTTCATCAAAAAATTCAACTGGGAACCGCCCCAATTGGCGACGGCCGGACAGAACCTCCTATATAAGGGCTAATTGAACACTTTAAGTTAGTTCATGTACATATTTGACCCTTTAGTCATTTCTATAAGTTTATCCATCCCAAATATCATTGTAGCACATCTAAATTATATTCAAAGGACTAGAGTCCATTCTGTTAGACACAATTAATATCACTTTCATAATAAAATTGGAGCAAAAATCTTACATTGTCCACGCTTACCCTTAAACGTTACTCCAGTGACCGTTTCTACGGTTTTTTCTAAAGAGCTTCCCATCGGACGCAGTTCTACACGGCAGACGTGTTCCTGCACGGTGGTTATTATGAGTTTCTCATGAAACCATAAGTGATATCAATTGAATTTATAGAGGGCTTGAAATTTAGTCACAGTTCAAATGTTATTAGACATTGCTTGAGAGCATAGACCGTCCATTTTTATCTTATGAAATTATTACGAGCAATAAAGAGTCATAGCATATTTAAATTCTATTCAAAGGACCAAAGTCAATTATGATAAAATTGATATAACTTTCATGATAAAATTCAACCAAAAATATTGAGGTAAAGGTCAATTGAGCACATCAAATTGTATGAGATGGAGTAAAGAGTACACAATATTGTATTTGATCTTTTTAGGTACACAATTCGAGTTTTTAGTGTTAATTGAGTACACTCATTAGATTAACACGGGCCAGCCCCCAATTACTTCATCGACTTCTTCTAGGTTGACGTAAGTCCCCCGCAGGTCGACTTCTCCTTGGTCGATGCACCCCTACTGGCCGACGTAGGTCGACGACCTCTGTCGATCGATTTCCCTTTTTTGTTCAACTTTGTGAAGGTTGTCGCCATAACCTTGGTTCATTACCCTTTCTTACTCAACATTCCGATAGTCAACTGAGTTGTATTAACGTGTTAATCTAATAAGTGTATTCAATTAACACTAAAAATCTAAATTTGTATACTTACAAAGATCAAATGCAATATAATGTACTCTTTGCTCTATCTCAATTCTCATACAAATTCGTGTAGTCAATTGACACTTTCCTCAAAAATATTTCATGGCTCGTGCTTTACCCCTAAAAGTAGTCCTGGACTCGGGCCGGTTCGGGCCCGGTTCGGGCCTGGGCCCGGCCGGGCCTCGGACCAGGAAATGGGAGGCCCGGGCCCGAACCGCCGGTGGCCGGTTCCGGTCCCGGTTCCGGGCCAAACCGGGCCGGGCCGAACCGGCCCACTTAATTTTTTTTTGTTCTCCTATTTAATCCCCTACCCCTCCCCCTCAACCCCAAACCACCCCAAACCACCTCAAATGGCCCAAAATACCTATTCCAACCCAAAACTTTAAAAAAATTTCAAAAAAAAAAAAAAATTAAAATCCGGCCCGGACCGGGCCCGAACCGGCCGGGCCGGTTCACCATTTGGAAGGCCCGGGCCCGGAACCGGGAACCACCGGGCCGGTTCGACCCGAACCGCCGGTGGACCGGGCCACCGGGCCGGGCCGGTTGCTACAGTGGCCGGGCCGGGCCGGTTCCGGGTCGGGCCGCCCGGCCCGAGTCCAGGCCTACCTAAAAGTTACTACGTAATACGATAGTAATAATTTAATGTTAAATCACACAAAAAAAATTATGAAGATTAAAAGAGAACTAATTAACGTGAGTGAAGAAATAGGAATTGCATCTCAGGAAATAAAGCATGCATCTCAGGAAATTGCAAAATTAGGAAACCCTGATTGCGGATTTGTGATCGATCAATTTCAACATAGGACAATCCAGATTCCAGAGGCTGTCTGGCTCAGGGTCCATCGGCGAAGAAGCTCGGAGCAGATCAGCCTCAAGCAACTGCAACAGCTACGATGTCTCAACGCACAAAAAGCACAAAATCTTCCGATGATATCGAAGCAAAAGTGAATCTTTTTTCCCTCCCTGTTTAATTTCATTAACTTAGCTAATCGTTTTATGCACTTGCCGTATTTAACTCATATTTTGAATGCTTAATTGAAAATTATCGCTAATGTGGTGGGTTTTTCAGAACTCGGCGCATAAGCTTAAGGAGCTTGAGATTACTGTCCCTATTGTCTATGGAAATATTGCGTTTTGGCTTGGTAAGAAGGCAAGCGAGTGAGTATTGCTGATCATGAGAGTTTTTTTATCCATTTTTGTATGACTGTTTGATGAAATGCCTCACTACAGCTATATTGTTAAACGAGTATAGGTATCAGTCTCATAGATGGACTATTTATGTTCGCGGGGCAACAAACGAAGATCTTGGCGTAGTAATAAAACGAGCAGTTTTCCAGTTGCACTCGAGTTTTAATAACCCAACAAGGGTTCTGGATGCTCCTCCTTTTGAGTTGTCAGAGTGTGGATGGGGTGAATTTGAGATTGCTATTACTCTTTATTTCCACAATGATGTTTGTGACAAGCCGTTGCACTTGTGAGGTTCTTTTTTTCTATTCAAGCTGAATTTTGTAGACTAAAAACTTGCAAATATTAGAATAGCTTGAGCTACTAGAATACTTGAATTAATAGGCATGTAATGTTGATCTTTCAAATGACTAGGCTCAAATGTTGTATGCAATACTTATTAACCTGTTTCAAACTTGAAATTGCTATGCGATATTTTGATTTTTGAACTTCATGTTACAGATTCCACCATCTAAAGCTATATCCGGAGGAGGAATCTGGCCCTCTTTCCACAAAGAAGCCTATAGTTGTTGAATCATATGATGAAATTGTTCTAACCAAACCTTCTGAGGCTCTCCTTTCTCGTGTACAGAATCATCCAGCAGTAAGTGTGCCCAGACTACCTGCGGACATGGCTTTACCTACCACAGGTGTGTTTTCAACTTTCTATTTGGGTTATAACTTATAAATGCTGCTTGATTGCTGTATAGTATCAGACTGCATATTGAGTTACTGGTGTCATTGTGTTTGACTCTAGCACCATTAGATGATGTTGATAGAAGAAAGAGAGGTGACACCAAAGATAATCCCCTAAGCCAATGGTTCACTAATTTTTCCGAGGCAGATGAGCTCTTAAAATTAACAGCAGCTCGCCAGCAGGTTAGTAACTTGGAGAAGGATTGGATTCTTTAAATTTTGATATTAGTATACGTATAATTCCTTTCTTTTATAGTTAAATAAAAGACTAAGGAGCCTTTAATAATTTGAGAACTTCATCTTGAATTGAAGGTTTTCTGAATTTCTGATATCAAGTTATCAACTGAACTTTCTGAACAAAGAATATTATGAAGTTGAAAGTCATGCACTGTATTTAATCATTCTTATCTTCATTTAAGCAAAACATTAACTATCGACCTTTTCAGTAAGACAGTTTTTCTAGTTGTAATAACAAGTTTAATGTGCTCGATTTACTGAAATGTCGTGATAGAATTATTGCGCCTGTAATGGCCAAATATGTATTTTTGAGATTAAATTGGAAGATAGAAATAAATACTCTTTTCGTCCCCCAAAAGTGTTTGCATTTTGACTTAGCATGCTTATTAAGAAAGTGAAATTGAATGGTTTTGGTTGATGTAGAAAAGAGAGAAATGATGCCAACAACACAAATCTTCCCATTAATGGAAATAGGAACAAAATGGAAATATGAACACTTTGGGGACTATCAAAAAAGAAAGTGAGAAGAAAAATATGGGATGGAGGGAGTAATATGGAGTATCTAAATCATGAACGATAATATTATATGTCGTGTAATGCTACAGTCCCCTAAAGGCTCGAGAGGTCATAGTTTATTTTAAGCTTTAAATAAATATGTATGCTCTAATTGGTAACAGTAATATGACTAAAATTTTAGATGTTATCTGTTATGGTATTTCATAGAAAAGACCTGAACTTTTCATTTGTTTGGTAATATAATCTTAGTATACGTTCATTATAACATTAATTTTTTTCCTTTTTATTCAGCGCCAATTTTGCCCAACAATTCACCTATATTAATGCTACCTCCATCCTAAAAAAAAGGTCCTGATCAAACATGTTTATATTTACTCCAGGAATCCATGTATATGTTGGTTTATCTAAATTTATCACATCTAACTTTTTTATAACTAGAGTGATCAATATTGACCTTATTTCTTAGCTTAAGTAGATATAAAGTTTCATTTGTGTGGATCTGTTTCTAAAAAATTAGATGAAAGCTTAGTCTTATTTGTTTAACAATGATTCTTTTTCTGCACACGAAAGTCTTTGTAGCATGATACTTTATACCCTTTAACTTTCATTGTTAGCAACTAAACACAACAGTTTTGTTGTTAGAACAAATATACCCATATATCCAAAATGGTTAAGAGGTACATATGTTCTCTAATAGATAGTATATAGTTAAGAGGTATATATGTTTTATAATACTTTAAGGGCATATTTGTTTTAAACTTCAAAATTTTATGTAATAGTTCCTAAATGAAGTTGAAGGGTACATATGCACTCACAGATGAACTTCAAGGGCGTATTTGTTAGATGGCAGTAAACGTTCACAAGTCCTCGCCCTTGAATTGTGGCTGCAATGAACTTCATGCTTTGACCTACATTCAACAAATTTGATGAAATTTTGAATACCATAGGTACAAGGCCATATTGCAAGGCTTCGAAGGCAGTTGAGCATGGTAAGTGGGCAGCAGCAGCAGCAGAAATCTGGAACAGAGTTTTGAAATTGCATAATTTTATCTACCCGAGTCAAAGGTTTGAGAAGTCAAAGTTGTGCTATTTTTTGTGTGTGCACGAATGTACGGATTATAATATTGCTGTTTTGTAAAATGTCCCTTTCTGTTCATTTTTTCAAAAAATGTGGAATAGTAGTGCATATGTACCAAGAAAGAACATAACCAAACATAGATAATTTTATGTATTTCATCGCATTCCTTGGAATAGTAGTGCATATGTACCAAGAAAGAATATACCAAACAGAGATACTTTTATGTATTTCATGGCATTCCTTCATTAACTTGTGTAAGCTCTTCTCCTCTGTCCAAAAACAGGATAACTCATAAAGGGTGTCAAGGAAGTTCTCATTCAAGAAAAAATCTACTGGCATTTCGAGCACCTTACACCATTTTAATACAACAGAATGGCTTCTAAATGATGTCAAACGATATTGTTAGGTCTTCAACTGTCAACACTGTGAATCCACTTTTCACAAAAAAGGTGCAAGTCTCAAATTTAAAAATAAAATCACTCTAATAGTTTTGATTGTCCCAACTCCCAATCGAGGGGCAAAAAAAGTTCTAGAAGTCGACATAAATTAATGAAGATAAAAAAATGCCTTTTCACGAGCAGTGTACTGGTACATTGTGATTTGTGAGCTAATGTGTATGTAAATGTGTGATGCAATGAAGCAAATGCAGAAATGTGGTTGTAAAGAAAATGCCACACCTCAGTTTAGATTATTTGAAGGAAATACATATGTTTCCTAACGGATTGAAAAAAATGAAAGTTGACATTAATAATTACCATAATAGGGGTCTGTTTGCAATAGCTTCTGCTTTTAAAAAGTGTTTTTTTTAATGATATGTGGAGAAGTGATTAAATAAAAGTTGATACTTGATAGTGTTCGGGGAAAAAGTGATTTTGAAAAGTAAAAGTGGGTAGTGTTTGGTAAAATAAGTGTTTTTTGTGTAATAGAAAAAGTAAAAGCACTTTTGACGCGGAAGCCGAGAAAAAATAAAAGTTGTAGTTTTTCGGGAAAATAAGTGTTTTTTTAAAGCCAAAAGTTGAGAAGTCCTTTTTTAAAAGGAGTTGCAAACCAACCCTAAGATGTCTCCAACAACCTCGTATGTATACACACATTAAATTACCACATTGTGGTAATTAATGACATTAATAATTACCATAATAAAATGTCAAGAAGATTGTCCACATGTTGACATTAATAATTACCATAATAAGATGTCTCCAACAACCCCGTATGTAGACACACATTAAATTACCACATTGTGGTAATTAATGACATTAATAATTACCATAATAAAATGTCAAGAAGATCGTTCACATGTAGACATTGTCCACATGTGCACCGTGCACATTATATCATTGAATGTGCTCTTAGCATATTCATTCTGAAAGTTTCTCATCTGTGCAACCTGAGATATTTCTACTGTACGAAAATTCTTCATCCATGAAATTCTCTTATGTGTTTACGTATGTTTTCTGTGTTTCCATTTACATAGCTGAAAACTGGTATTTACGGAGTATACTATTTGCTAAGTGTACACATGAACGAAGTCGGTTTATGAAAATCGCTTTTTATATTAAATATAAACAATTAATTTTGTAACTACTTGTAAGTCCCTATAAATCCAACAGATAACATTAACAATAAAATGCATTAGTTTGTTTCAACTTCTAATTTTATCAAATGTATCATATCCTTAATTTTAAAATAGTAAACATATGTATGTTCAATTAAAATAGGCTAAAGGGTCAAATAGGCCCTTGAACTGACTTAAAGTGTTCAATTAGCCCCTTATATAGGAGGCTCTGCCCAGCCGTCGCTAATTGGGGTGGTTCCCGGTGGAATTTTTTGATGAAATTTTTTGAGCATCTTCTCATTAAGTCTAGTTTACCCGTACCAAATTTCAGCTAAAAATTCAACCGGGAAGGCAGTCAAATGATTTTCCAAAATGTACTACGCTGTTTAAGTTCGCAATTATCTTCAAAAAATTATTTGACTGTCTTCCTGGTTGAATTTTTAGCTGAAATTTGGTATGAGTAAACTAGACTTAATGAAGAAGATGCTCAAAATATTTCATCAAAAAATTCCACCGGGAATTGCCCCAATTGGCGACGGCCGGGCAGAACCTCCTATATAAAGGGCTAATTGAACACTTTAAGTCAGTTCAATGACCTATTTGACCCTTTAGCATTTAAAATACTACCAATGTTAAATATAATTTACAAAAATTCCCACAAGTTCTATATATATATATAGGGAAAAGTTCAAATAAAAAGACTTCTTCCTGTGTAAAGTGCGAAGATGTGCACTTTTTCATGTTTCTCTTGCACTTTTTCTTGTTTCTGTTGCACTTTTTCGCGGTGACGAAAAAATGCAACATATTTACGAAAATGTCACCGCGTTTTTGACCGAATTTTGTGCATTTTGGCTCATTTTTAACCATTAGATGTGGAAATGAATGCACAAGATTCATTCTCACCTTGCATGGGAAGAGCTCTTTGTATTTGAACCATTCCATATATATATATATATATATATATATATATATATATATATATATATATATATATATAGACACACACAGCCTCTGTCCCATTGATGGTGAAGTAAGAAAAGTAAAGAATTTATGTCTAAGATTTGTGTAGTGTAGGAGTAAACAGAAAAACGACAAAGTATTGACAGAATAAAAAAAAATGATAAAATCGAATAGGATGGAGGGAGTATCATTAATTATACTACAGAATAATTACTTTTATCAAATCAAATCTCGTCATTTTTAATTATTTTCAATTTTCAACTAGTTTCAATTATAAGTAGATTTCCGCCGTCTGCCTAGGGTTAGTCGATAGAGAGAAACACGCAAGAAGAAACATTGTCGCCTCGATATCTCTACGGTAGTGCGGCATTAAATAGGCTGCTTTCCACATCCGATCGATTAGTGATGCGGTGATCCAAACTATTTGATGGAGACATCAACGCTCAAAGATTCTTGATAGAGGCATGATACAATTGGATTGCTCTTCTCTTCTAGTTGTGTTGATTTTGTTCTATGATGGTTCTTTCTCGGGCACTGGTGCTCCGGGATGATTTTTCTGTCTCGATGTTGGTGTCCCGACTAGTTTCGTCTGGTCAGGGGTTTCTGTTTGCTTTCTTGTTGTGTGCGTAAACATTGATAAAGCTCGTCCTCCTCTAAAACCACCTCCGTGCCATGAAAAAATTTGTGGAAAGACTTTATTTCAATTTTATTTTTCAATTAGTAGTGCTTGTTTATATTTAGTTTTAGTAGGTTTGGTTTGGAAAATTGGACTTCTGGTGTATGTTTGATAGGTAGTATTTCAGTTCCAATTGTTTTAGGCTTTAAATTGTCGTTTTGTGTCTAGCAAATCAGGTTGTTTTGTATGAGGTGACTGATTCTAAGTCTACTTCCAGGGTTCACAATCGGATCTATCATAACTGTTTGGATGTTATCTTGTATCTTTTCTCGATTTAATATAAAAGTTTATCATTTTTTAAAGAAAAAAAATCTAATCTCAATTATAAGTTAGCAAATCATTATATTGTTTCCCCCAAATTCTCCCTGTCATAACGCCTTTAGGCAAACAAATTGAATAGCCCGTATGGTAACACTAATATTGTCTGAATCGGCTGGCTCTACTAAAAATGATTACATTTTGGCGAAAGTGGTTAAATCTATTGAAATATTAAAAAAATTAAAAATATATTCTATTGATAAAATAAAGAAGAAATTGTATGAAAATAGCTGAAATCATCCTCTAGAGTAACTTCAGCCAATTCAACCAGGAAAAAAACTCCAACCTTACTTATTTTGATTATTACAAAAACTCAACTCGCAAAATCAAAACTTCTATATTTGGTGAAAGAGTTGATTGATGAGAATGAAAAACCGAAAAACATAGGTCATCAAGCAGGCTCGAAATATTCTCTGAACGTTCATGTACTCGTTTTTCTTTACTCTATTCTATGTTTTATGTTCTATATTCTATGTTTTTGCCACTTTCGATCCCTCGAATATTGTGTCATTGATACTGTTGGTACTCGACTTTTAATTTTTTCATTATTAGTCTTCGACTATTGTGTGAGAACCACTTTGAGTCCTCAACTTCAAACTTTCTCACATTTAGTCATCTGAGTATTATTGAATTGACACTTTTAATCTTTACACTATGATTTTGACGCAATAAGGGAAAGGCTAAATATGTCACTATTATAATAGTTGAAAGACCAAAAGTATTACTTTTATGAAAGTCGAGTGACGAATTGTGGAAATTTTCAAAGACAGGCAGCGAAAGTGTCCACAATAGTCGAAGGTCTAAAAGTGAAAAAAAATCAAGATCGAGTATCAAAAATATGAGTATCATAATAGCTAGAGAACTAAAAGTGGCAAAAACTACTCTATTCTATCACAAGTTAGTTAATACCAATGTTCTAAAAGGCGTTAGGCGCTAGTCGGGCGCCAGCCCAGCGCCTAGCGCCTAGTCGGCTAGGCGGGCGCCTAGGCGGGGACTAATCGGAGACATCGAAATTGTAGTTTTATCAATATTTTTGCATAAATATGATTAGTAATGTTGTATTTGTGTGTGTATAAAAAATATATACACACAGATACACATTAACATGCATGAATGATAGAGTTATCATATTTAATAATATATTATATCTACTCACTTACTCACTAGTAGCTTTCTTCACATGCATTGTCAAAGTTAAAGGTACATATTTCTTAGGATACTAAAATAAAAGGGCAAAAAAACAAAGTGTTCGATGAATCTAGACGCCTAGGCGGCCCATTAGGCGCTCTGTGCGGGCAACTAGGTGCCCTAGACGGCTGACGAATTCACCTAGGCGCCGATTCAATTAGTCGGAGCGCCTAGACCAAAATCGGGGTGCCCGACCACCGCCTAGCGCCTAGGCGGGGACTAGTCGGGCGCCTAGAGCGATTTTTAGAACAGTGGTTAATACTTTCCTTGGGAAAAGGTGCAAATAGGCTCATGTACTAAGCAAAAAAGGTCAAATAAACCCTTATTTAGGAGACTCTGTCCGGCCGTCATCATTTGGGGTGGTTCCCGATGGAATTTTTTGATGAATTTTTTTGAGAATCTTATTCATCAAGTCTAGTTTACTCATACCAAATTTCAGCTAAAACTTCAATCGGGAAGGCATTCAAATGAATTCTTGAAGATAACTGCGCTTCTAACTGCGCTGTTATTTTCAAGAATTCATTTGAATGTCTTCCCGATTGAAGTTTTAGCTGAAATTTGGTATGAGTAAACTAGACTTAATGAATAATATGCTCAAAAAAGTTCATCAAAAAATTCCAACGGGAACCACCCCAAATGGCGACAGATGGACAAAACCTCCTAAATAAGAGCTTATTTGACTTTTTTTGTTAGTACAGAGACCTATTTGCACATTTTCCCTACTTTCCTTTGATACTTTATTCAGCCAATTACAACTTAAAATTCCACGCCATTAAATCTCTATCTCTACAATTATATAAGCATGAATATTGTTAGGAGCATAATATGGTCTTCAGAAAAAATGTTCGTGTCTCTCGCTGCTTGAGCTAATTGTACCGTAGGCATATTGATTTGAAGCTTTAAGCTTGGCCGTCAAAGCAACGGATAACGGGGGTTAGCTTTGCCGATTGGAGAGCATGAGCATTAAAAACATTCCTAGGGAGTGCATGACCGCTTGGGCGGCGCACATGTGCGTCCAGATCGATGAACCCCTTCATCTTCTCTGAAGAAGAGGAGATCTCTAGCGGGCCAAGAGGTCGCCCGATTCGTACTCAGGGAGACGACATCCACGTTGAAGGAGATCAGCGACTTGGGCGGAGCGAAGGTGGTTCAATGAATGGAATCGAAGGGAACTGCTCGCATGTTTCCGTTGCCATTCAATGACTGGAATCGTCATCTAGAAGGGAGTTCATCTGACACACTATTGAGCTTCAATCGACCGTTTGTTAGGCAACAAAGCAGAGCAGAGCGCAAGGGGCCACAAACTGTGTAGTGGGATTTCCCTTGAAGGAAGGAAAGACGACCATGGACCGGCAACTACACTGGGAGGAGATGGCTTTGAATTATTGGCATCCCTTTGTAAGATCTTCACTCAATCATTCTTTCCTTATTAATTAAATATTTCCTTTACATTTAAATTCAATTCATTCCTAAATTACCATAGTTTATTTTCCTTGATTGTCTTGTTTCTTTGTTTCCCTATTTTTTGTTGTATTTTATTTGTCGTGTGTTTGCATTTTTACTTCTTCCCATCCCTGTCTTTTTATTCTTTGTTTATTTCTTTGTATCCCTTTGTTTTCTTTGTGAAGTGTTCTAGGTAACTTGCTGCGGGGTTTATTGCACTTGGGTATTTTATATGTTTTTTTTTATGTAAAAAAAAAAAACATATGCGGTATGCTACATTTAGAGATTAAGAAATGGTAAGGAATCCCATTTCACACTTAAAGCGGATTAGTAGTAACAGAAGGATGCGGTAGCCCACTGTTGAAGAGGTGTGCCTCAATTTCATCTTCCTGAAATTGCATCTCCCCACTGTTGAAGAGGTGTGCCTGAATTTCATCTCCCTCACCAAATGGCAGTAGATCCATTTGAGCATAAATTCAGTCCCAACATCTTCCAAAATGTGGCTGTACCTGAAATGGTGGGAGGTTGGGAGGACTTCGATTATTATCTTGGGCAGGACACAGTCTAAAATGGTGTAAATGAGAGTCCAACCTGTACGTAATCCCTCCATTAAAGGAGGGAAAAGTCTATTACTTAACTGGTAAAATTCATATACTTAACTTACTTCGTATTTGTTACGTTTGGATAATCTTTCTGTTGAGTTTTTATTGAAGCAACCTGGTTGATACGTGATATAATACTTTTTACTTCGATATAGTGCTTTTTACTTTGGTTGTCCATGTATTGATTGATAATATAATATAATGCTTGTAACTATAGATGTTAATCTCTGAAGCTTAATTTAGTGCTCAAGTTTACTTTAGTGCATTTAACATCTAAACAATGGCTGCTATAGAGGGTTATACGTGTATTGTTTTGTATTTTACATTAACTTTAGAAATAGTATGTTCAAAATATTTTCATCTTGTTTTTTCTCAAAATAGATCCTGAAGTTGCACCGGCACATTTACTTTCGCTTTCTAGAATCACCTTCAGCTACGCGTTTAAATTTTAAACCACTATACTTGTAGGTGTAAATCATTTGGTCAATGCTCTAATTTAACTTTCCATGCCACTATGGTCATATTCATCTCATTTCTCCTGTTTACAATCTATTGATCTTTAATACGGAATATATACTGAACATTTTCCTGCAAAAAACATGTCTACTTTGCTTACATTTTATTACAAGAATAGGAGAGGTAAATTTGTTTGGCAAATAATGCTTCAAACTTATTGCATTTCACCTTCTTGACCAAATTGTACCCAAATTACTTTTCTAAATGTAGGTTAAGACCTGTGCATCCCAGCTGAGACTAATAGCAAGAGGTGATATTAAGGAGGCAGCAAAGTCATAAGTGAAGCACCCTCAAAATCCATGGCTGAAATATTTTTAGATGATTGCGTTGATGATGATCATTGCGAGGGAAGCCATATTTCATGTCTCACTGATGAATGTTGATGCTGGCTTGCAAGATCACTCTGATAGAATTGATATGTTGCCATATTAGAACAATTTTTCAGTTTACTGAAGCTATGACTGTTAAATAAATTTTTGAAGACAAAGCATAACAGGGACTGACAAAGCAAGAAATTCAAAGATTGGCAAACCAACTTTCAGATGATTTCATACTTTTCCTTTTCCTTGTTCTATTTTTTTATATACCTGCTAATCTTGTAAAATATTACTCTCATCGTTCCACTAACGATGGGACAAGAGGAGTGACACGCAAACCAATAAAAAGTGGTGTATGTGATTGCTATTGAATTGATAAAGTAAGGATAAAGTAAAGTCACACAAACTTTAACAGATTTGGAATGAAAATATCTTAGTGGAGGGACTGAAAAGGTAAAATGAGACAACTTTAGCAGGACAAAAAGAGTAATTTGTATTCTCATTTTTTAGAGATGCGATATGAGGTGAAAACATATAACTAAAATTTATATTTTATAAAAAACATTGGGTACTATCAAAATCGTGCATTGTGCGTGACAACAAATAGAATAATGTCCCAAGCATTTTTGCTATGTTTGTTTTATTATATAAAATTATTCTCAGATCCAATGTACTCACATGTGGCTCAATCAAATATCGAATTACCGATATAAATATTTGGATGCTAGCTTTAACCTAATGAACTTTAAAGAATAAAAATTAGGAATTTTTGTCCCAAATACTTTTCATATGTCTTCGTTTTGCAATAGTAAATAAACTGCAATGAAACTTATCCTATTATTATGGTTATTATAATCATCGTGGTTTCTTTATTTTCCCACATAAACTTGGGGCTATAAATATTTTATTCATTATGGGTTTTTATCGATTTCTAACAAAGTATACAAATAGTTTACTCATAATACTCATGTATTCACTCAATCAAACTCGACCATCAATTAATAAGCCTACAATGGTCTTGGGCATATACACGAACGCGCATCGCGCGTTACTGAACTAGTATGACAAAATACTAGTGGCAATATTTTGTAAACACGTCCACCATTACTCGAATGTAAGGAATAAAAATATAATTACTCTGTTTTGAAAAAAATTCGAAATATGAGTAAAAAAAATTAGAAATTCTAGAATAAAATGTAATAATATCTAACATGACAGCATAAATTTTAATCACATTTTACAAATTATACAATCATATTTTTAAAATTCTAGCCATAAATTCTTTTCGATTCAATTCAAAGACGTGTTAACTGTTCACTCCTACATGATTCATAGTAAATTCTTTCTATCTGAAATACCTTTCTTAACAGAGTCGCTATTCCCAATTTAAAAAAGGGTGCTGTTTCATACTGAGCATTCTCAAACTCGAGTCTCTGGGCATCAGTTTCTATTTCTAGCGTTCGTAACTCTTGCTTTTCGGCATCATCGTGTAAGGTAAAACTTAGAAATCTCTGTTCAAACTATAACTAACCCCTCGTTCGGCATACGATGAATTTAGGGGAATAATGCCGTCCCCAAAATGTGCTTAGGGAACATGTTTGCTCGTCGAGGCTGTTTTAGTATCATATATATTTATGTATCGATGAGATCAACTATATGTTCGATTTATAGTCGAAATCTGTGCTCCTAGAATTCGTGGTGTTATTAAAATTTTATATTTGAACAAATTACTTTGCTAGGATTATGCTCTCATTATAATTTGTTCTAATATAACATTTGATGACTTGTGGTGAATAAGTTATTTGCGCCTCGGGCATATGCCTCATTGCGCTATGAGGCTTACTCAATTGCAATTTAGTAAAACCTCACAACTACGCAATACACAATTTTGAACCTTGCAGTGGATGAATAGTTGGTTTGCTTTCAGTTTTATTGTTTTAAAGGTGTATTAAGGCTGCATCATAAGGTACATCAGATCATTTACACTAAAGGTATAGTCATGAATTGGAGAAGCTTTCTAAATTTTGTGATCCTACACATTGAGCAATGTCTTTGTCTAGGTGAAGGGAATGCATGTCTTGTGCACCTGCGGTTGGTACTTCTGGAGGAATTATATCTTCCTGGAAGAAAAAGAACTAGGCAGGGATTTTGCCTGGCGGAAGGTGGTGTGTGGTTTTCATGAGAATAGCTCAGTTTCACGCTGGTAGAATTTGGATTTAATTGGTTTCTTTTTGTAGAAGTGTTCTATTTTTCTCCAAGTTACAGAAATGGCTGTGAATAAGATGTAAAAGGGATAGTGTACTCAACAATTTCAAATTTGAATTATATTCATTAGCCGGTGGCAATACAAATTTTGAAGAAAATAATTATATTATAAAAGATTAACACTTTTCATATGTGTCCCCCAAACCCTCTGCCCCTCCATATGGACTTGTTTTTGCCTTTTGCTGATTAATAAAATGTGTGCGTAAAAAAATGTCTTGTGCACCTGTGTTTCGAACTTCTGGAAGAATAATATCTTTCTGGAAGAAAAAGAAGAACTAAGTGGGGATTTTTCCTGGCAAAAGGCGGTGGTTTTTTCAGGAGGATAAACTCAGTTTCATGCGTGCAGAATTTGGATTTAATTGGTTTCTTTTAGTAAAAGTGTTTATTTTTCTCCAAGTTAAACGGATGTGAATTAGCTGTAAAAGGGATAGTGTACTCAGCAATTTCAAATTTGAATTACATTCTTTAGCCGATGGCGGAACAAATTTTGAAGAAGTAAATAAATAATTAAATATAAAAGATTAACACTTTTCATATGTGTCCCTCAAACCCTCTGCTCCTCCATATGTACTTGTTTTGCTGATCAATAAAATGTGGGTCAAAAAGAGAGTCTTGAGGCCAATATGAGCCTCAACTCTTAATGTCTCATTCTCCCGTACTTTAGCAAGGATAGCAGTTCCATAGTGTTTTTTATGTGTGCTTGTTTAGGCTTTTTTAAAGCTTAATTGTGTGACTGTTTGCTTGCTTCTTGTCTAATCGCATACGTTGTATACTTTTCTTGCTTACTCTTTACATTGCCTACACTACCTTTCACTACTTTTCCTAAGCCTCATTGCAACAGAAAGGGGTAGAGGGGAGGTCTGCATGCATTCCACCCTCCCCAGATTGTATTTAAGAGCTGGATATACTGTATTTGTTTGGTTTAGTTTGGTTTGGTTTTTGTTGAAGTTAACGATAGTCCTATAGTGTTGTTGGAAGAGTAAATAATGTTTACTGATGGTTTTCTAGTGCTATCAGACTGCAAACACTGCTCTTACCGATCACCTTAACAGTTTTGATTGGATCTTGAAATCCTGATATGGTTAATGCACTTCTCAGGAAAATATTCCATCTTTGCATCACCCTAGTCATGGATTTCAGAGATAACACAAAGCCAGCTAGTGTCCCACCACTGGGTCTTATTTATAGTGGATATGGTGGCAAAAGCTCTGCAGAAGATCTAGCATGGGCCGATTCCTGCCTTTGTCCAGATGCTGAACTATCACAGGGTGGCTTGAATTCATTCGGAAATGCCTTTGCTTTATTAGGGATTCATGGTTCCAAACTGAAATCTTCCGTTGAAGAAAATGTTGAATTTCGTGAAGCAGGTGAAAGAAAGTTTTTTCTCAATAAAAAAGGTAGAAACTCACAAGTGTCAGATGAAATAACATCTGTTGATTCTCTAAGAAATGAACAAGAGGGGGGAAACATGATAGATTATGATCAGATCAGTGAAACAACTGATACTTTCAACACAAGATTTAACTTGGATAATGTTTTCCTTCCTACGTACAATGAAAACCAGATGATATTCGCAACTGTTGATCCTGAGCTAGACTCGATCTTTCCAGCATTTGTGGAGGACCAGCCAGCTGATAACATCTTTAAGGTGTGGGAACTAGACATCCCAGACGAGGAAGATGAACTCATTGGACAAGTGAAAAAAGCCGTAGCTGAGAGCGCCTTAGAGCCTGAAGCTTCCGTCTCTAAACGTTCTGTAGTGTGGATAGAATCGGATGCTCCATCACTTGATGATCTCATTTCAGGCATTGATGACCTGTCTTTGAGCAGGGAGTCCAGCTAAAGGCTAACCAATGATCTCATTGTTTTAGTTATGCTAATTCTATGTTATGGTTTTCATGGCATAGCCCTACTTATGTGTGAGTTTATTCCAATATATCTACAGAGCATACGATTTTACCCATGTACATGATTATTCTACTTGTGAATCTTAATCAAAAGATCTTTTATCATTTTGTATCATGTCATTTGCTCAATGACAAATGATCATTGCACAATAGCCCTCTCTAGAAGTCTAGAGGGACTAAGCGTGAAGATTAATACTCTTAAGTTCCTAATCAAGATTTATTCTCTAAGATTGAAATTACTGGTCTAATCTATCTGAATTAGTCTAGTCGAGTTTTAACTGATTTGTTTGTATGAACCCGTCTAACTTGCTTCGGTTTGATATAATATGGTGGGTGAATGTGGAAATTGTAGCCTCTAATGTGTGTAGAAACTGAACTTAGCTTTCAAATGACATAAAAAAGGTTAAAATGGATAATTTTGAACTCAGATATGATCAAATTACACGTCGGTGTCATTCTGAATTACGTAGTAATAATTTTTTTTCTCAAACAAGGATGAATCCCTTAAAATTGTAATCTCTATTAGAGCTTACATAAAAAGAGCTAAGATAAATTTAGATATGATAATAATTAAATGCATTCATCTGAGTATAGTTATTAAAATACAATTTTTCATTTTGCTTTTAAGTTGTTACTAATTACTAATATTTCCAGATAACATAAAAAATATAATTGTTTTAAATAACATTCCGTATAAATTGCCAAGTACCTTGTGGTCTGATGGCATCATTGTGGCACTCTCAAAGAGGAGGTCACAGGTTTGAATCTCATATTAATTCAAGGATGTTGACATTAATATTGAGCAGATATTATATAGGTTAGAAAGAATTGTCCCAAAAAAAACCATTCCGTATAAATTTATAGTATCTTTATATCTTTTTTGAGGGATAAATATCTTTATATCTTTGCACTTCAAAAGTAATCATCTAATAAAGAATTGATTGAAAAAATAAAATATTTTTGCATTTTAGTATTTTATGTATGAGTAAATATCAGTGCTCTAAAACGCGTTAGACGGTAGTAGAACGGTGACTGGCCGTCTAACGCCTAGCCGCGCGTCTAGGTGCCCACTTGGGCACTTAGATATTCCCTTTTTATTTCTTTATTTTATTTTAATTACTAACAATTTTATAATATTTTGAAAATAGAAATAACTCATATAATGATTAATTGTTACTCCCTCCGTCCCATTGGATTTTACCAATTTTCCCTTTTTGATTGTCCCAAAAAAGGGACAACCAAATCCCTTTTTGGATTTGTGTTTTTTAGTCTCTAAAAATGTCCTTATACATTCTAAAAAGTGTATACTTCGCATATATTTAAAACATACCTCGTAGTATGTTGGAATAGAATCAAACGATGTTTTAAGACAGCTGAAAAATAAGTTGGGTTAGGAAGAAAGGGAGGGAAGAGAGGGAAAGGAAGGCCCAAACAAACGTGGATTAGGGGAGTCAGAAGGGATATGCTTCTTCTTGGATTGGATGTGGGTATGCCTTTGGGGAGAGCAAAATGGAGGGCGAGTATTCGTGTGGAGGAGTGATCTTGTATCATCTTTTCCCCTCTTTTTTTTCTTCTTCTTTTTTTTCTTTTTCTTTTATATTTTTATCCTTATATATAAATATTACTTTATCCTTTTTATTTTATCTTTTATATGCATATTCATCTCTTTTATATTATCTTTTTTATAATAGCTTGTCTTTTTTATCTTTATTTTCTTTCTTTTCTTTTTGGTGTTATCATGTATCGATTCATGTTAGCCGACCTCAATATCGTCTGGGACTAAGCCTTGGATGTTGTTGTTGTTGTTGGTTGTCCCAAAAAACTTTGTCACTTTCCCATTAAAGCAACTAATTTGTAGTTCTGATTCTCCGCTGCACAAATCACAATCACACAATTTTTACTATTATTATTTGTCACCTACTTTGCACTTGGCAAAGCCCACCAGGACGGAGGTAGTATGTTTTTTGTAGTAAAAATATATCAACAATTAATAAATAAATTAAGAGATTTGTGTTTTTTAGTCTCTAAAAATGTCCTTATACATTCTAAAAAGTGTATTCTTCGCATATATTTAAAACTTATTTTTGTTGTAGGAATACGAAAATAAATTATGTTGGAATAGAATCAAACAATGTTTTAAGACAGCTGAAAAATAAGTTGGGTTAGGAAGAAATTTAATCCGGACAGCCCAGCTGCCAAGGTGCACGGCCAGCCCGATTTTCCCACCGACTTGGTAGAACTCCCTACACTAGAAAGAAGATATAGCTAAACACAATGTATCCCAAAACTGTATAGTAACATGCAAGTATGCAACAATATCACCATCTGCAAACTTTTGTTTAAAATAATCGAGGAAAACCCACGGTTTGGAATCTACAATACTCTTTTGCAAAACTACTCTAAGTGTTTCTGTTAATAATAATTTTGATTGAACATATGACTCATCATTTATTCTCAGAAACCAGAGGTGGCAACAAAAGTGTTGTTAATCCAAGTTTTTTCGTACATCTTCAAATCTGAATGTAGCTGCATTGTGTATCACTTATCATCCTTTAATCTTTTCCCTTCAATCCTCCATCTCTCCTTTCCTGGAAAACAATATTGAAAAAAGTACATTACACTTTGGGCTTTTTCTATCAAACTACCTCCATTCCCTCCTCTAAGATTGAGACATGTAAGGGAGTGGTGCAATACTGCAGTTATTAGGGAAAGTAAAATTATGTAGTTGTACTAAATGGTATAAGTGTGAATAGAGTAGATCTGAATTAGAACTACACAAACATTACCTAATATGGTATGGAACAAACTTAGTGGAACGGACGAAAAGTGAAAGATGGGACATCACGGTGGGAGTATTAATAACTATTATAATTATTGTTGTTTTTTAATATTCTTCTAAACCTATTATAGTATTTGTTCATGCTAATGACAACATCTTTGATTGAGATGGGACTTGAACCTGCGACCTCCTCTTTGAGAGATCGCAGTGATGCCATCAGACCACAAGGTACTTGGCATAATTATTGTTGTTGTTATTAGTAAGTAGTATTTCATGTGTCATACTAATCACAACCTTTGATGAACACTTCCAGACTAAAATAATACTTGGTACTTCATCCCTGAAAAAGTAAAAAAAAAAAAACACTCTTCTCTTTACGGCTTTACGTGCATCCCAAAGTACGGTCCATTTAGAATTGTGTGGTTCAATTTGTTAATCTCTAAATAAAATTAATGTACTAAGCGCATCAAGCCAAAACCTCAAAGGAGGGCCTTTCTCAGGGACGGAGATCATCTAACATAATGAACATACATGTGTGACGAAGGTTGGGGACAAAGAATGAATATAGGAGGATACCAGGGCAGTCAGAGTATGCCAGAACCACTTTTTATGACTCTCTTTTAAGTGATCCGATATGCATTACACGGTCTGACTCGTGATTGTTATCAGTAAGGCCGCCAATTCCGGGTCCCTGAGACAACATATCAATTGCTAAAGCACATTTACAGTCAATGTGACAAAACCTTTCTTGTGATAGTGTATACCTGATGGTTAGCAGAAGCTTGACCATGCATTCTATTAGGTCTAGCATTGAGATCAATCAGTTTGTTCTCCGTTTTTCTGCCAACTTCAGCATTTTTGTCTAGAAAAGTGGCACCCAGTTCTCTGCTACTTGGCACACTATCTTTCATCTTGAAGGGGTGGTTTGGCTCCCACTTTGGCTCATTTATGTCGGTAGGTTGCGCCACTGGCTCATCTAATGGTCCAGATTTATCCCCAGGAAACTACAGAAAATAACAAATGAAAGGTTTAATATAAAGCATATGCAGGATTAGGGAAAACATGGGATTCATCCTTAAATACTACACAGTACTAACTAAAAATCCTTCAGGCAAGAAAATATTACTTTTAATTTTAGGGCATAAAAGTCACCAATGCAGTTACCATCTCAACTGGCCAGTTAAAACTGCAATGGTCGTTGACAGTTTGTAATTATTTCGGCCGTTGACAGTTTGTAATTATTTCGGAATATATATGCCCTAAAATAAAAAATTAAAGTTTTTTCAATGGGTAGACACTTGTAACATTTAAGGATTTCCCACAAAAAAACTTAGAGCCAGTAATTGCTGGAGAATCATTCTACAAACCTCGACTCTCTGCCTTACAAGAAGATATCTTCCATGTGTTCTTTTGCCACCAACATGAACAACCATATCACATTGCAAACATAGTGAACTTCCATCTATCTCACAGTAAAAGAAAGCTACACGCAAAAAATGTCTGATGTGCATACTTTTACCATTTTATGCAAGTGAAAGAAAGGATGAGAAAAATGGAGAGGCATGAACCTGCATACCAGGTGCATTTTCGCATATATCACAGCGTGAGACTTTGTTGGGGTCAGCAAGCCCAACTCGTACATGTCGACTGGCAAGCTTGTTACACATATGGACCTGCATTACCTCTCCTAAAGTGAGTCCAAGAGGGGTTAAGTAGGATATAAGTGCACCAAAAAATATGACTTGGGGAGATATCAAGAAGAAAGTATGTCCATATTAATCCATATCCCAAATGTAAGGAAGAAACCATATGCAACGTATAAAAAAAATTAATTTCATAAAGATCAGTGAGCCCATATAGTTTGGACGATATATCGACTACGATAGTTGCACTACTTGAAAGGGTTATTAAAATGTGGAAAGTGAAACCAGGATCATAAGTTTCAGATTGTGGGATCCAAAGCCTAACCTAAGTTCGGCCCAATCTGATATCATTTCATTCATTAAATTCATATGGAATTCCATCCCCAGATAGGCAGACAGCTTTAAATAGAAAACAAAACTAACTGTTGTGCTCTTAGTTATTTGGTGCAAAATTGGATGCGCCAAAGAATAGGTAACTGTTGGATTGTGTTACAACTGCCAATAAATTCAACCCTTACTGAACGGGTCTTGTATCACAATGAAGTCTGAAACGGCTTGCCTTTTCAGGGCACTGTGGGCCCTGTAGACTTGTATTTGATAGAAATTTGCAAAAGCATCATGGCCCAATTTATCAATTGGTTAAATAATGAGTTATTGATCAATTGGCTAGATGACGATGATCCTTACGGTTGGTCAAATAAAGAAACTGCATTCCTTTAGTGTGCGTTGGGTAAGTGGAAATTGATAGGAAGGAAAAGGGGAGTGGGAATTGCTGTAATTTAGAAAC